ATTATTGTTGTTCTTCCAACCATATTGCACTGGTTTCACTCTGTATTCCTCCGCTAGGCCCTCCAGGAGGATCACGTGTCTGACTTTGTGCTCTTGCTGTTCCCAGACCTTAACTTCCGTCAGCCCCACCGTGGAGTCCAGTGTGATTACTTCCTCCCACCTCAGCTCTATCCCTTCTTTGACTGGTCTACCCATTCTCCACAACTCTAATCTCATGCCCTGCGGCAAATCCGGGCCTAGCACTTTTAGTACACAACGAGGGTTTTCTGGATGCTTCACCTACGTATCTTTGTCATGCTCTGTAGTATCCTTGAGGATCTCTTCCCAATGAGGGGGTAACGTTGCCAACAGTGCCTCATAATGTTCCTCTACTATGTGCAGTCTGGGCAGCTTCTTCCTCGGTTCTTCGACAAGCATTCATCCTTGTTTTTCCCAGTCCCATATATGTTTGACCAGGAACACCCCCTTTTTAATCCATGCTCGCGCAAAGTTACCTTCTTTTTGGGCAGATTCAAATGATTGGTCCGTCTCTTACTTTATCCGCACATTGTCAAATAAACTGGCAGTTTGACACCGACGTCTGAACCCCCAACAGTCGCTCCGAATTCTCGGGCGGTACTTCTCTGAGGCCCCAATTCACACACAAATTAAATGGGGCAGGGAGTAAATAGGCGGACTTATCCCACTTTATAGATGCTTCAGATAAATAGCAATATATGTCTAATACTACTCTTTGTTCAGTAAAGGAGGCTAATGAGTTCTCACATGCAATTGTCAGATCATCGACTATGGCCCCGCCATTCCAATGAATGGTGGGGGGGATCTCAAAGCCTCTTATGTTAGGATTGTTTTTGATACTGTCTAAAGAAACCTCCAGTTGTAATACGAACAAAAGGGGGGCTAAGGGGCAGCCCTGTCGGAGAGATCAAGTAAGTTTGAAAGATTCTGACAATCTGCCGTTCACTAAAACTATTGACAAGGCATCCGAGTACATGGCTTTGTCGCCTTGCAAGAAAAAGGGACCGAAGTCCATGTGGTTCAGTGTCGTGAAGACAAAGGACCACCCCACTTTATCGTAGGCCTTCTCCATGTCAAGGAGAAGGACTGCGATTTCTTTATTTTTTGATGCGATAATCTCTAGTGCATGAAGGGTAGTCATAATATTATCGAAGATCGTCCGACCCTTAACGAAGACTCATTGTTCATGTCCAACCAGTTTGGGTAGGAATTCTGCCAATCTGATAGCCTGGGCCTTGGCTAAGATTTTGTAAGCTACATTCAGCACAGAAATTGGTCTATAGTTCCTTACTTCAGACTTACTTCCCTTTTTGTACAACAGGGATATATACCCTTTTAAGAAACCCACCGGGAGTGACCCATCCGTTCTTATGTTGCTATAGATCTTAGTCAGGAACGGGCCGAACACTTCCCAGCATTCCACATGTAATTCCACAGGAAGGCCATCGAGGCCAGGATATTTCCCACGTGCCATCTGCCTGGCTGCTTTGCCCAGTTCATCTGCTGTGAAAGGTTCCTCTAGAGTCTGTTTCATTTTAGGTGACAGTTTAATCATGGATCTATCATAGAAAGAGTTGTTTATCCAGAGGTCTTTGTCACATGAATCAAAGGGTCTCCTTGTTGATACAATGTCGCTGAAATAGTCAACGGCAAATTAGCACATAGTTTTTGTGTTGGATGTCATAGTAGGATTTATCGCAAATGGGTGAGCAAACTCCCTAATTAGAGATTTTGACTGTCTAAGAATTAATGATCGAAAGGAGATTTTAGTCATCTTGGTACCAAGCAATTCCCTTCAGTTTCAGCCAATCCAACCACTCAGTGTGTTTCCTAACTTCTAGTTTTTTTAATGAGGTAACTTCGGCGCAGTCACGAAAACAGTTTGTAATTGCATTCGAAACTGCGTTTTAGCAGTTTCGTAAGGGTCCGAGTTTCAATTGCATTTGAAACTTGGCCGTATGCAGTTCAGTCTGGGCCCTCGTCTATCCACGAACAGCAGATAAAAAAAAAAAAAAAAAAAAAAAAAAAAAACATCCCTTATACTGTGATTGCGGTCCGATACAGGATACTACAGTACTTATCTGGAACAAATAAAGCGTGGAATCCGCCCTGCCTGGTTGGCAGGGCGCTACAAGAACCTCACAACAAGAAACAAAAAAGGAAAACAACTTGTTTCATGTTCCTCACTTCCTGGTCAGATACATTCCTCAAAGCACTGGTGACCTGAGGGTCTTCCCGATGTAGGTGGATTCGAAGTTCCTCGTTTCTTTACTTTTTAATTTCTTCTTTTTCTTTTTTCTTTTTTTGGCCTTCATTCCTGCCCCGAGCCCCCCACTTCTTCGCAGTAGTCTACTCTTGAGACTTCGCGTTTGCCTGTGAAGGGTAGTGCCTGTGAATCTCGGTTGTGGCCGAGACATCTCGGCCGTGGCCAATCTGGGGTATGGCCGAGACATCTCGGCCATGATCAGTCTGAGGTGTGGCCGAGACATCTCGGTCGTGGTCAGTCTGGGATGTGGCCGAGATATCTTGATCGTGACCAGTCTAGGGTGTGGCCTAGATATCTCGGTCGTGGCCCAACCATCGGGCTGTTTTTTTTGTTTTTTTTTTTCCCAGCAGCAGAGCGGTGCGGCGAGGCAGGCGACCAAAAGAAAAGAAACAAAAGAAAAAAAAAGAAAAAAAGAAAGAAACGGGCTGCAGCGCGGCGCGCGCGGCGCTCAACCGAAACGGGAAAAAAAAAAAAAAAACGACCATGTGCCTGACTGAACTGCTAGAAAAAGTCAGCCCGAGTTTCAAACTGCTAGAACGCAGTTTCAAATGCAATTGAAACTCAGGCCCTGACTAAACTGCTAAAACGGAGTTTCAATTGCAATTACAAACTGTAACCCTGACTGCGCCATAGTTTTTTTTTTTTAATTCTATTATTGCCTTATTTCTTTTCTCTGACCAGTAATAGTTTGTGAAACAGGTCTCCTCCCATCCTTTCTTCTGCCTGGGTAATCTCCCTTAGGAGTTGTTTCTCTTCCCACTAGTGTGCTGCAACAAGGATTCTTAAAAAATTCATTAGTGTGGATCTTATTATGTTAATGCCTACTTCCGCCCACTCTTGTTGGTCTTCGAACAGATCCGTTGCGTTTTCCCAGCACTGCATCCGTTCTGTGATCCATTCCTTAATCCCCCCGTCCTTCAACAGATTCGCGTTGAGTCTGAACAAAGGTCTTTCTTTTTGGACGACGTTGACCGCTATGACGTCCATAAGTACCGGATAGTGGTCAGACAGAGATGCGTATTGGACATCTGACCAGCAACACCTGTCCCAGGGGGCCCCTCGTGCCAAGATCAGATTTAGACGAGTTATGGGGGGCTGCGTTCTTTTTTAAGGCCGTGGGCCAAACCAAGAAAATCCATTAGTATCCGAGTTAAGAGTCCGGTAGACATCACTCAAAACTTGTGAATCTATCCCCAAGCTGAAATTTCAGCCACGCCAGTCTTCCTTCTGTATCAGTGCAAGAGTCTAGTTCGATAATATTAACGTTCTTATCTATAAGTATGACCACCCCACCACATGTCCCCACCGCTGGAGACCATATCTGGGGACCGTCCCAAAAGGCGGCCGCTTCTCTGATCTTTTCGGTGTTTATTTTTTTTTCTGCATCCCAATTATTTGCACATTCTTCCTGTGTATCTAGACCCTAAGCCTAACTCTTTTATGTATGTGCGTAGTCTTCCCTAAGCCACGTATATTCCAAGAGGCGATGCGCAGCTTAGGTGGGAGGACCATCAGGTTTGCATCCACCGTTTTGTTGGATCCGGTCTGTCACAGGGTGGGAGGTTCCTGTTACTCGGCCTTTATTCATGTTGCAGGCTGCTGCGATCATGGTGTTGATATTTTCGTTAGTCAGCTTGTCCTGCAGTCCAACGTTTTGGACCCAGTCAGAAATCAGAGAGCCCTGTCTTCCGACCGGTAGAGGAAAAGCGCTGGCTTTGTCCTTTTGGTTCGTTACCAGTTCCTGCAAGGGGAACCAATGAACACGTAAGTCGCACCACCTATAAAACGAGTCTATTATGGTTTTGAGTCCCAGTAGTACAAAATAAAATACCACTGGGGAACCCTTTTCCACTTGGGACAGGTATCGGTTAGGCTTTGGGATAGGCAGGGGGACTACCGATCCCGTGTGGTGTAACACGTGTCTTTTTGTTAACTCCGCCACCTCCTCTTCAGTAGGTGTGTCGTTAACTGGTATCGCCGGTATCTCTGCAACCTTACTGTTCGGGAGTCGTGTCAACACCATGGTGTCATTTGGGGAGACATCCGAACAAATCAATGGAATCAGGTACTTTTTTATTGTTCCTTTTAGCCTATCGTGCTTGGATAGCGTTTTCATTGGTCCCACAAGAGAGAGTTTCTTGCGGGCAATCCGATGAGGATGACTTTGTTTTTGTCCCACACAATAGCCACTTCGGCCTTTTCCAGGAAAAAGCTCAGTTAATTCCTCTACAAACGTACCCATCCCTAAGGCATCATTTCTCTTAACCTTCTTGGAGGGAGAACCTTCAGCGGTCCCATCTTTTTTAGGACTGCGCACCTCGTCTTCCCTGGTGATATTATAAGATCGATGTCTGTGAGGGGTCTGTCCTTCGTATTCCCTCCTTGTGGGTCGCCTGATGGTTCACCTTGTTCTAGCCTGTTTGCCCTTTCTTGGTCAGCCTCCTCAAATATGTCATTGTAGTACACTTTGGCCTTCCCAGAGAGGGCGCCATAGGTCGACGTTCGAGGAACAAAATTTGACCTGACAAGTCGTGCGAGGGGTCCCAGGGGTTGACCTCTGCTTCCCTGTCCTGCAGCGTCACCCCTACTATGCCCAATAAATCGTCCCCTCCCTCTGACTCTAAATCATCCTCCCCTACCCCTTCCTCCTCTTCCTTATCTTCCCATAGTTCTTCTCCCTCCTCTCCTGAATGCTCCTTATCCGCCTCCTCCTTATCCCTTGTGATTCCCTTTATCGCCCTTTCTTCTTCTGGGACGGGGTGTTCCCTCCTTTTCCTTCGTTGTTATCTTTGTGTTACTCTCCCCCTCTATCCTTCCCGCAACCCCGTCCTGATTGGTCGTTTCTGTTTTTTCTATGAGCTCTCTTTCGTCCTCCTCCTTTTCTTTATTGTTTCCTTCTTCCCCACATGATAGTTCCTAATCGTCTTTCACCCCGTTTTTCTCTTCCTCCTTATCTGCTTCTTCCTCCTCCTCATCGTCTTCCTCTTCATCCTCCTCCTCGTCTACCTCCTCTCCCGTCCCCTCATCCATGTCTTCTTGTTCCTGCTCATCGCCCTTTTCTTCCAAATCTTCTTGTCGATCCTCATCATTTCCCTCTTCTTCCTCCAACCTCTTTTTGTTTTCCACCTCGTCTCCCTTTTCCTTTTCCACCTCGTCTCCCTTTTCCTTTTCCACCTCGTCTCCCTTTTCTATCTCCATTTCGTCTGTCCCTTCCTAACGTGGAACAGGTCCCTTGAGTGCCTCTTTATAGGCTGGTTCTGTGCGTCATTTCCAGATGACCAGCTCCTGACCCGTGGCTGGGTTTTTCTGACCGGGTGTTCCCTCGGCCTTTTTCCCCATGCCTTGGGTCGGGGCAGGAGACTGGTTTCCATCCTTGCCCTTATTTCTTTTACCCTTCTCTTTTCCTCCAGCCTCCCTTTCTTTGTCCCTTCCCTTTTCCATAGGACCTTTTCCACGATTACTATTGTTGTTGTTTGGCTTCCTCGGGCCTAAATTTTATTTTCCTTTTTGTTTCGCTTGCCCTTTCTGGCTTGGCTTGGCCGGACAGTCTGGATCACCCACACAATGATAGAAACGTCGGCATTCCGCGCATCACGGAGTGTCAGCGTCAACCACTTCAATTTCTACTGAGCCTTGTTTGCCCAAGTCTACCAATAGCCAAGGCTTGAAACGAAATCTTGCGGAGGATGCCAAATCGAATCGAACGTTCTTCGGTTCCGGAGATCCGGGTTCATCAAATGATAGGGGGAAAGTTTTCAAAATTAGACCAAAGGCTTCTTCCACCGCCGTTTTGAGTTGTGGAAGAGTTGCTACAGGAACCAGGAAGCACCTAAACCAAAAAAAAAAAAATCGCATGGCTTCCCTCCACTCCTGGAGTTGGTTTTCGTTCATCCATGGTTGAAAAGTCATCGAGTAACGTTTCCCATTGAGGGTGATTTGCTCTTGTTTCTTTCGCAGCATAAATGCGGCCACCTAACTCGAGGATGAGACGTATGCGACCAAATTTCCGCATTCATTGTGGAATAACCCTCGTTTGGGGGCCACGTTAAGTTGTGGGTTGGCCGCTCACCCATCCTTGTATGTATGAACCAAACGTTTTTTAACATCGACAGGCAGGGCGGTTGACTCATCTCCAAACAAGATCGTGACCGCATGCTATTTAGGCCATTCGACTTGCACACGGAAAAAATACGGGTTAATAATTACCCTAACGAAATCGTCGCCTACTTCCACCGTGTTTTTGGCCAAGTGGCTCGACAAAATTCCATCAGTGTAATACTGGCTCATGATATCCCGTATTCGTTGCCTTTCGGAATCAGACATTGGGGAAGTCGGGCCAGGGGTGGCGGGGGGGGGAGGGGGGAGGGGGAGGTGAGGAGGCTCTGTTGACTCTCATAATTGTGGTCTCTCTTTTGTCTATCCTTTCCCTCCCTCCTTGCTGCCCTTATTCGTTCGACTCCCAAAGCAGGACTTACTAAACTACGCAAGTTAGTTCACATACAAGCAGGACCGAGTTCCTAATTTAAATAGATAATATTATTTTATGTTGAGACATAAATAAACTGGGATAACTTCGTTATAAACCTCCCCTTACTCTCAGTCTTACGAGATAGTACTTTTGTTCATATATGCAAACTCCAAGAAAGCGAGTAGTCATTTTGTCTGATGGCGCCACAAAATTTCCACATCTCAACTCATGCCCCCACGGTTGTTCTCTCCTTTCTCCATTGCTTGTTGGAAGCAAGCAGCCGTGAAGACAGGATCCCAGAGGCCCAGGCAATAACGGCTGCAGTCGGCTCCTAAGCTTCGTTTGTTGACCGCTACTCCCCGGTTGGCCGAACAACTTCCTGCCCCCTGATATTCCACCGAGGGAAACGTCGTAAGTCTATACCACGCGGAAGCAGGAAGGGGCTTAGAAAATGACGAAGACGATGCCTTTCCACAAGCTCCCCGCCTTGGGCAGCGGAAACGATGTTTTTCTCGGTTACTTCTTTCACCAACATAAGTCGCACTGACCGAGACCGGAACCTCTCTGCCCCCTGGTATTCCACAGGGGGAAACGCAGTACTACCATACCACGCGGGAGGTGGTCGGCGCCTTCAAGTTGAAAATTACGAAGACGACGCCCTACCTGACACTCCAACCCTAGGGCCGATATCCTCCGCACATAAAAATGTCGAAAATTGCATAACGCGGATTAGCGTGAAATAACGCCGATTAGCGCAAAATTAGCGCAGCCCCCGACCCGGTCCGTCCTTGCCACTTTCTGCTTCCAGGTGCACTCATTTTTTTATTTTTTTCTTATCTTTTTCACTCTCCACGCATCCACCACGAAATGTGACGGATGCCTGTGGCCCTCTCGAGAAAGGAAAGCAGGGCGGGGGAGGCGTGACCTTGCTTCGGTCGGCGCTGTGCGCTCTGCCAAGCGGTACCGGGTCGGCAAAACCCGAGTTGTCATCTAGGTCGCTACCAATGTGATAGCACCCTGGAGTCTACTCACCAATCGCCCTCCTCGAAGGGTGGATATGGTGAGTTTCTAGCCATAGGTATAGGCAGATAGACAGAGGAAGCGACCCCCCCACGGCTAGAAGGTGTCTACGGAGTCAAGAGACGAGTGAAGACAAGCCAGAACAAGAACAAGGGCGAGTCAAGGCAAAGGATATTGGAACTTAAGAGGTGGGAGCAAGAGTATAGGTAGAAGATGGAGTCGACACCGGGAGGGGGAGGCTCAAGGAGGTCACCCCCAGTGCAGGATGGTTCCTGGCAATTGGGCTCAAGTAGGGAGGGCTCAAGCGGGTGGCAAAACCCAGGATTGGCTTTTGGTGAACGGGTATGTACCAGGCCCCTGGCCCGGATCGGGACAGGCACTTGGCAATTCGAGCAGCGGCGTACCAGGATTAAATGGCACACAAGCACCCGTACCGATAGGACAATACGGAGGACAAGCATCTGTACCGTCAGGCAGCCAGGTAATGGGGAACGTGGGTGCAATCGGCCTCGACCAAGGAGGCATAAGAGCGAATACACAAATGGTTGGGACTTCGGTTACGCATGGCCAGGCACAAGGAAACTCCGGGGCAGGAGCCTTTGGCCTCTTTGGGGAAGCCGCAAGGGGAGGAGGAGCTACGGGTGGAACACGGGGTGAGCAGGAATCGACCAGCACCCCCAACCGCTCAAGAGGCAAGGGAATGGGGAAACAACGAAGACTAAGTTTGTCATCACATCCAGAGGTAACACCCGAGAACTCAAGAAGCTCAAGGGTATCAAGGGAAGACTCAGAGAAATCCGTCGGCCATGAAGTGAGGGCAGTCACACCAGGAAACAAGACCACTCGTGACAGAAGGTTAGCGACAACCGCCCGAGTGCAGGGAACGGAAATGCCACAGTATCTCCTCCCACTTCTGTGCACTGAGGTCCGGAATGCGAAGTGGGTAATTGCTTGGCAAAAAGGGTTAGGCCCGTTATCCCTTTTTGCTCAAGTAGTCTCGGATTTACCGACGTTAGCGATAATAGAGGATAGTCTGAGAACTCTGTACTTGGGAGCCTTCCCGGTACGCGTTATTCAGGATATACCCACGCCAAGGGTCCTGTTTGGCCCAACGGAAAACAAGGTAAAGTTCTACCTACCAATTGTAAACGCGAGATTGACAGATAGCAAAGTCACGGAGCTCGAAGCACTTAGTCTCCGCCTTATCCCCCTGGCCTTGTTCGTTGAATGTAAGAAGCAAGAACTGGCAAGGCTGGTGATTTCCCCAATGATGATCCCAGCAGATGCGATAGCAGAGCTAAAAATTCGCCTCCCGAAAGACAAGAGGTTAGATTCTCAGTTCATGCACTCGGCCCTCACTCAGGTTTGGAATGGAGGAGGAGCATCATCATCGGCCCAAATTCAACCGTCATTTGGCAGAAGCGATAGGAATGGTTAGATATCGAGTAGTCTCTTGGAATTTGCAAGGCTTTGGGGATACGACGGGTAGGGATAAGCGAATGAGGGTTAAGTTCTGGCTTCATGACAAGAAAGTCTCTATTGCGTGCCTACAGGAGACGAAACTCGGTCTGGAGAAGATTCAGGTATTAGGCAGATGGTGAGATGGACCGCAGATTTGGTCTGCAGCCAAAGGCACGAAAGGCTGTGTTGGGATCTTGGTACATAGGGGCACCTTGGCCCAGACATTGTAGATTACTTCGCTGATCTGTGGGGCCGTTGGGCCTGGGTGTTGTTCAAACAGAGAGATCTCGTGTGGGTTGTAGTCTCGGTATACGCACCAGTAAACAGGAGTGAGCGATATCCAGCGCATCAGTCCGGCACCGCACAAGGCAGCGCGGGACCCTTCCGGCCGCGTCACGCAGGAGTTGGCCTAAATCCTCGTCGTGAATATACATGGAGCTTCCGCAAGCCGCTCCGACCGAGTGCGCCAGCCATACCTCCCGCGAGCCACTACGACAGGATAGGACCTACGCGAGGCACGACTTACCTCCACCTTATGGGAGTTGTCACCTCCCTTCGGTGGGCGTATCCCCGCCGAGCTACCAATCCACAGTACGAAAGTTGATCAGTTGCAATCGCAGAGGTGGACCAGCCGAGGGCGTTTCTCATTCGCTGTAGCATAGGGTGTACGCGTGATTTTACGCCTGCATCAGACCCGCACGCGAACCGACATCTTGGGGGGCTGAGGTCCCACGCGCGACTCGCCGTCGGTCGACTAGGACGCATCTCACTCACCACACATACATCATACTACGAACACAAAAATAAAACACACACACACACACATCAAACAATGAGGCAACACTCCTAGTCCCTTCAGTAGCCATCCCATAACCTTCTAACGCGGAAATCGGATGGGCGACGTGCACAAGACTTAGTATAAAACCGCGCGAAGGCAGGACCTACTCATATCGACTCGCAATGCAAGCGTACGCAAGCGGTCACAATGATGGCGTACTATGTAGTGCCCATACTCATGCGATCCTCTTTAATCTCGAGGGTCGCGTTCGACACTCAAGTGTCGGCTCACACTCGCCTTGAGGGATTGATCTCTCAACGCTGGACAACCGCCAAGTGCAGTTGAGAACCACACCCTCTCCTGCGCCCTGCGGAAAGTGGGTGGTACACAGGTTCATACCTGTGGTAGCAACTGTCTCTTATGGCCCTGGAGACCAACTCCATCATCTAGGGCCTGGAAATAAGTCAAGGGGTTTGACTTTGATGGCTGCCACGGACTACAACGTCCAACCATAGAAACTTCTAA